TACGTTTATATATAAAATAGTATATGGAAAAAGTCTAGAAAAGACTTTTGGAAAAAGAATGGGAAAATCAAGAAAAAATAAATAAAGAATTATATTAAAATAGATGAAAATTAAATTCAACATTTGGTAATTATAATCTAACTTACTGAAAAGATAAAATCATAGACTATTTTATAACATATTTTTTTGAATTTTTTTATATATTATATTCGGTAAGTTTTGATATCAATTCTTTCATAAATTCTAATTTTATTGAAGGAAATGAAAACTAATTTTATTTTATTTTATTTTATTTTTTGTCATTATTATTTTCATTTCCTAACCAAACAAGTTTAGAATTCCTTTTAATTACACAAAATTAAATTGATTGTCAACGGTTGTAATTTGAAAAAGATATATATATATATATATATATACATATATATGGAAATTATATTTGAAATAATTTAAAAAATTTCAAAAAGTTAAAAAAAGGAGGTTTGTTGCGTTCACATCATCCGACACAGATTTTCAGGATTCGAATACAAGACAAGATAAATACCGAAGAAACCTCCTGCCTGTGGCCCTCACTTTCTCACTCAGATACTTCCATCTCCGTCAAAACCCTTCTCACTCTTGTTCTCCACTCCCCTTCCTTTTTCCTTGATAAAAAGCTTTGATTTAACAATTCTTGTCAACTTTCTGAAATTTTCATCCATGGCGGGAGTTAAAGTTAATGTTCCATTGCCGGACGAAATTAGGTGTAAGAGATCAGATGGTAAGAGGTGGCAGTGTTCGCTGCCGCCGATGGAGGGAAAAATCTTTTGTCAAGCTCATTATCTTCAAAGTCGACATAGACAACTTAGGAAGCCAGTACCAGATAGCTTAAAGCTTGATCGAGCAACGCGCAATAAATTGGTCCCAAAACTTGAAGAGGAGTCAAATGATTTACCCCGAAGAGGGGGTAAGAGAAAAAGAGCAGAAACATCAACTGTACCCCGTAAAAGGGGTAAGAAAGATAAATCGATTCTGAATCCGGAAAAAGCGGTGGTTAAAGAACTTAAGTATGGGCTGATGGAGATACCACAGGCTTCTCCATCATCTGCTCAATTGAAACGACCAGGTTCGCCTAAATCGAAAATTGGGGTTGCTGCGTCACAATCGGTTTTAAGAAGGCCTATAAGGTCAAAGAACGTGGAACCTATTCCAATGGCTACACTGCAGGTTGTTTCTCATAACCAAATTTTTTATTTATGCATCTAAATTGTTATGTTTTTGCTTGTTTATAACCTAAGTTCTTATGATGCTTTCAATTTTGTGCATTGTGAATTGTTCAAGTTTTGCCCAATATGATGTTTTACATTAAGTTCATCTCTTGTTACAATGCAGGTTGATTTTCATCACCCAAATTTATAGGTGGGTGGGTTTGGGTAATGGTTTTAAAAGGGGCAAATTTTAGGGCTCAAAAACTGGTCGATTGTTTTCCTTGTTTATTTCATAAATAGTTAAATTATTAAATATGATTATATAAAAATATTATTAAAATAATAAAGTAATTTTAAAAGGTTCTGAATTCTTGATTATGCAATGGGCTACTACTTTTGACTTGAATTGACCCATTTTTACATATACATGGGTTGAGATTGTTTTAAATTTGCTTCTTCACAAGCAAATGGTATTTTTCATCATTTGTTGTGTGTGCGTGTGTTCTTCCAAAATTCACTTATTGCTGCAATGCAGGTTGATTTTCATTACCCAAATCATCAAAGTTTGCTTTTTTTTAATATTATATTTATAATCACATTCTCGTTCTCTATTATATTGTTCTGTAATCATGTTTCTGTTGGTTTTGTGTCCCACTGCAGGTTGTTTTCATTAACCAAGTCTGAAACTTTCCATGTAAATTGTTTCAGTTTTGTTTCATTACAACCCAATGTGATGCTGTTTCATGTAAATTCATCAAATTTTATGTCTTTCTGTTTTAGATTTCACATATCCCTATAATGCAGATTGATTTTCATTACCCTAATTGTTGGAATTGGCTTTTACATAATCACAATTCATTTGTTTATCTAGATGCTACCAAGTATAAAAGCCAATATAAGAGAAGCGGTGAAGAAGAAAAACCACAAGAAGTGCCATTGGTGCAAGTGGAGTAGCTATCGTGTTCTTGTCAAGTGTTCGACTTGCAAAACACAGTTCTTTTGTGTAGATTGCATTGATGAAAGGTCTGTTTAACACTTCTATCATTCTAAGATACCATCAATGCAAATCTGTTGAAAAAAACTTGGTGTGATTACTTATTATGTATAATTATAACTGTCATTATGCAATAAATGTAGCTGAATTTATGTTCTTTAAGTTAAATTAATGATTCTTTATTTCAATGGATTTAGGTTTTATGATAAGGCAGCAGTCAAGAGAGAGTGTCCTGTGTGTCTAGGGACATGCTGGTGCCGAGCCTGCATAAGAGAAAGACTTAAAGAAGACAAATCAAAGGTTCGGATCTGAGCCGTAAAAAAATGTGTGTGGTGTCACGTTTAGTACTATTATATACTGATAATCTTTCTATTTAAGGAGCTGGTTGTTTGTAGCCCTGAAAAGGATTTGGTYGTTCATAATCCTGATATGGATTTGGTTGTTCATAATCCCGAAGAGGAGCTGGTTGTTTGTAGCCCTGAAAAGGATTTGGTTGTTCATAATCCTGATATGGATTTGGTTGTTCATAATCCCGAAGAGGAGCTGGTTGTTTATAATCGCGAAAAGAAGTTTGACAAAATTCAACAACTTCACTTGATTCGGATGCTTCTTCCGGTGATGGAAAAAATGAATCAAGAAAAGATCATTGCTTTGGATACTGAAGCTAAAAACAAAGGTAGTGGGTTGTTTCCTTGTTTGCTTTTTTGGGTAAGGAGAATCATAATCTAAATTGTTAAATACAGGTAGAATGCTTGGCCAGCTACAGGTTGAGCTTGCAGAATGCTCTCAGAAGCGGAAATGCAGGTGTCTTTTCAAAGTTACACACATTGTTTTTGAAAGATTCTTGATCTAATCATGCAGTTTTGAATGATCTTGTAGCTTACATTGTTTTGTTTGTATGGTGCTACAGTTTTTGTGATGATTGGGTTGCAGATCTTCATAGAAGTTGCATATCTTGCTCTTATATTCTCTGCATGCTTTGTTGTCAAGAGTTTTCTGATGGATACTTACATTCGGGTCTTGCTGATTTGAAGAATACGAAGATGATTAGAAGCAAAGCACCGAGGAAGAAGATATCATGGAGGTTTTGTGCAGATGGAAGTATAAGATGCCCACCGAAGGATTTAGGTGGTTGTGGGGAAGCTTTTCTCAAATTAGCTTGTTTTCCCCCCTTCAATTGGACGAAAGATCTTGAAGCAAGTGCAAGACAAATAGTTTTCAAGTATAGGTTTAAGAAACCTTTCGGGATTGCTTCTTCACCCTGCTTGCTATGTGAGGAAAACAATGATATGGGAAGTGAAAAGGTTGGAAATTTGATTAAAGACATCGGGTTATATTTCTCCACTAAGCAAGACTTTAAGGATAAAAATCTTGAACATTTTATGAAGCATTGGGGCGAAGGTCAACCTCTTATAATCCGTGACGTGCTTCAAAGTCGACCGGACTTGAGTTGGGATTTTGGTTTCATGTTCTGCGAATACCTTGAAAGGAGCGCCGAATCCTGCAAGGACACAGAAAGGGTAAAATCAAAAAGCAGATCTGACTGGTGTGAGGTCCAATTCGGTAGAAAGCATATACTTGTGGGGGGTAAAACCCACGCAAATGTGTGGCAAGAGTTTCTGAAGTTCAAAGTTCGGTTCTCTTCAGGGTTTTTTCAAGAGCAGTTCCCTGATCATTATGCTGCTGTAATGCAAGCTCTGCCTGTTGAAGAATACCTTAACCCATTGACAGGCTTTCTGAATCTTGCAGCAAATTTGCGAACTGAAACTCAAAACCTTAACTTGGGTCCTTGCATTCACATATCCTATGGTGGGCCGGAAGACTTTATGGATTCTGGTCATTTGACGAAGCTTTGTAGGCATCCAGTTGATATGGTATCTTTCTAACTACTTTATTTATTATAGGATTTTGTGGGAACTTCTTATCCCATATTATGAGTCCTATTGATCTTTCTCTTCTGCATTCAGATGAATATTCTTGCAAACGCCACAACAGATCCTATCTCAGAGACAAAGCTTAATGATGTGAAGATCTTGATGAAAAAATACACGTCAGAAGATCATCTACAATCTTCCAGTAAAATACGAACAAGACTTAAACTGGAAGAGATCTTTGGTAGTTTAACAGGGTTGGAGGATGGCGAACGTCCTTGCATGACCAACAGTTCATTGCATTTGATATCTGATGATTCAAGCACTGAAGACTCCGGTGATGAAGATTTTTCTCAAAACAAGATTAGAAGTTGTAGTACTAGTCGTTATGGAGAGGAACAAGTTATCGATACCTGTGGGGCTCAATGGGATATTTTTCGCCGAGAAGATGTTCCAAAGCTTGTAGAATATCTTAGAAAATATTCTGATAAGCTTCGCGAATCCTATGGTTCTCCCGGAAAGGTATTATTTCTATCAACGTAAAATATAAAAGGACAATCTACAAGATTTCGTAAATACTTACTTTCATTGTACTACAGGTTGTACATCCGCTTTTTGACGAAGTTTACCATTTAGATGACCTTCATAAAACAAGACTCAAGGAAGAATTCGGTAAGTCTCCATCCTTCGACAAATTAGTACTAAAAGATCAGTAAGTTGGTGTCAAACTCTTTTTCAGTTCTCATTCATGTTAAATTTATTTGTGTTCTTATTACCATGACTAGATGTTGAACCATGGAGCTTCGAGCAACATATCGGTGAAGCTGTTATCATTCCAGCTGGTTGTCCATACCAGATGAAGAAAATTAAGGTAAAGTGCTATAAGTTCTCTTGAAGACAGTAATTTGTATGTGTTTTTTCTTATCAGATATGCAAGGAAAAACCCAAAAAAGTAATTGGAAGAACGTCATTGTGCATTGACCAATATATATATATGTATATGTATATATATTTTACTTTTTCTACTTTTGGAGCCGTGATTAAATTTCACTCGTACACATAATGACACGGAAAATATAAACTCTTACAAGTTAAGACATCGCAGTTAAGTTCATTTATATCTATATATTGGCAACCGTGGGTGTCTGGGCCAGCTTGTGAGCGCCTCAACTAATCCCAGGGGCCTTGAAGATAATAATGAAAATCCCCGGTGGCCCTGACGAGACTTGGACCGGCAACCTATGGGGAGGATCCCCATAGCCTAGCCTTTATTGCCAGTTCATTTAAAAATTGGTGGTTACTACTAGAAACTCAACCTTTACGGCCTGTGATTCAAGTTCTAAGATGTTTATTCTTGTGCAGTCATGTGTTAATGTGGTCCTAGAATTCATCTCACCAGAAAGTGCATCTGAATGTATTGAAGTGGGCAATGAAGTTCGTCAACTTCCTGTGAATCACAAAGCAAAAGGGAAAAGGATAGAGGTAAACATTTTGACACGACATTCTTTCTTTAGATATGTTTTTGTGGAGTATATTGCTAATTAATGGAAGTTCTCTTTTCAGGTCAAGAAGATGGTTATTAATGGTATGCATGCAGCAATTGAAGAAATCCGTACGGTTTCACAAACAGGGTAAGTTTTTGCATTGATACATGTTAAACCTAGGATGTGTTTGAGACAATGGAGTCCCTGCTTGATTAGCTTGTGAAAAATTGGTTGACTTAGGCATGGCGCATGGCTTGCCAAGAGCTTGACCGTTGGTTTCACTTGAATAGGATCAGTTCCTAGGCTCATATAAGCACGAGCCTTGGCCCAGCTTGTATGTACTCACATAAGCTCTTACAGAACTAGACTGCTTCAAGCACGAGCCTTTATGCAAATTCTCTTACTATATATTGTTTTGACATAACTAATTCACTATTCCATCATCTACAGATTGGTGAAAGCTGAAGGATGATATTGAACCTCGACAATCCAGAGTCAAACCAAGTAAATTGATGTATGAAAATGGTATTTGCTAATCAGTTAGCGACTGTTTAAGTTGGACCACAAACTTGTGGCTTCCTTTTTAGCTGTGAAATGTTTTTCTAGTAGACTTTAAACCATTGATGGTAGTTTAAGGCCAATTGCAATTCCATTTTTATGACATTTGTCATTTTTGAAGTCAGTATCATGAATTACACCATATAGTATAAATTAATAATTGATTAGTAATATCACAAATTGCAATAAGGAGCAACATACTTTCAGTTTATCTCTAATTTACTCACTGGACTTTAAAAAGCGTTATTAAAACCCCTATCGTTTACAAAATTGATTTTCTGGGTAATTTTGACCAATTTTTTTTTGTAACACTTTTTGAAAGTTGGAAGGTGTTCATAGCGGTTCTCAAAATTTGAATGGTTTTAGTAACGTTTTTCGAAGTTGCATGATTTTAATAACAAATTTTGAAATCACGTGACCAAGTAAAAAATGAAGTGCATTGCTTCTATTGCAATTTGCTTGTTAGCATGCAAATATGTTGAAATATATCACAAAAAACTCATTCCATGATGACACGTTTACTGATGTGAATCTTGCATTCAGGGATAACACTTTTTCTTGTTCAATCTTCTTGCATATATCTTGAATTTCTGTTGAACTTGACTTAATGTTGTCCCTGATTTTAGCTATCATTTGATCAACTATTTGCTTGTTCGTAAAACATGTATAGCTCTTTATCCATCAGAATTCAGTATAGGTACTGAATTCTTTAGCCTTGCTAGGTTGGTCCTATCAACCAACACAACTTTAGCTACTGTGCATCTTTGTGGCTAAACAAAAAATACATTCAAAAGAGAAAGATAAGCTTACTTAATAAGCAATTTGCTGATTTGAAGAACCCTGATGAGATCATCGATGTGCGATGTGGTTCTTTTTTGCCCTTCCCTACCTGCTGGTTCCGGTCTTGCTGGCCTATAATCCAGATTGATCTATTCAGATTGAGGAAACACCGAGTTCAGGTCTTCTTTCTATGCCCCAACTGGGTAAACCTTGAGATTTCTCACTATTGGTATGAAAATAGTGAAACGTCTTTTTCAGACTCAAATCCTTCTTTGTTTGTGCCATGGACTCCGAATGGACTTACTGTAGCAATACCAGCCAGAACCTCTGATGAGACCTATTCATCATACTCTATCCTATTACTCATCTTTAGGATATAGTCTAGCTTTCCCTGTCTCTGCCTTTTAAAGTCCGTTATGGGTTTCTAGTTGGGAACAGAGCTGTGATGAGATGGATCGCCCCTGACTCTAATGAAAAAGTCTTTCTTAACTCTTAACTCGATAAGACTTTGTCCTTATGGTTTGTTACACTAATTGGTGCTGGGATATTTGCAAAACATATTTCCAGCCTTGAGGCAAAGGGCATACATGGGTTTGGCAGGGCTTACTCTGTTACGAGTTTGGTGTTATCTAGGGGGAGAGGCAAAGGGAGAAATCGCTTCAGAAAGATATGCTATGGATGCATGATTGGATGCAATATGGTTTTAGTCTATAAAAAAAACTGAAAAGAATGGAGATATAGGACAAGCAACTATGCAACTAGAATAGAAGGAATAAACAAAGATTTTGCTACGCAATCTTATACGAGAGCTCCTCAATGTTTTGGTTAATGTAATGTTTCTCTTTTTCTTGATGATGTCTTGTGATCTAAACTTTTCCGATCCCTTGACCAACTGACAAGTTTACCCCATGAACCTAATGTCATGGGGTTGGGTCATGGAAATGGCTTATTTGCCAAATGCAAGGGAGACATTCCTCCCCGGTCCTAATAGAGTTGAGGAGTCTTGGGCAGAAGTGTGGCCCTTCTTACATTTGTGATATGCAAAGTAGCAAAGAGAATCGCATAGGTTACCTTACACCACCCATACTCCATTTGGGAGGGGCCACCTTGATGTTTCCCACGTGAGAGAACCTCACCAAAATCATATTGTCAATTATGGAGGCTTGCCTTGCCTAGCCTTACTTGAAAAACCTTAGTATTAAAAATGGCACTTCGATATGTCTATGTTCCACAAGGAGATACTTCAATCATATACGATGTAGAGCATGTGCCCAAGGCATCATGGGATTAGTTCTCGTCACTACAAGTGCCAAGTCAAATGGAAAACGGAATGAGGTAGAGGCCATGTCTGCATACATCTTACCCTACCTAGACCCTACCTCTGGGTGGGATATTATGGGCTCGTGTGGTTTGGTTTGGTTTTGAATGGAAACATAAGTACCTTCTTGAGATTCTTGATCGCTCAAACAAGGGATCTTGTGAATCATAGGGTGGTAGATCAACTAACCTCACAACCATTGAACTACCTTAGAGATACTTGGTGCCTCTCATGATATTTTGATTTTTGGTGTTCTAAGATTGGGAAATATGAGGGCCAGGAAAGCAAGAAAGATTTTTTTTTGTTGCCTGTGGGACAGATCACATCGTTTGACAATCTAATAAGTATGGTCAAGATGCTACCATAATTAATATTGCTCATATTTGGAGGATGTTATTAATTATTCAAAGTGCCTCTCATAATATTGTGATCTAGGGTGATCCAAGAATTGGGTAGCAGAGGAAATGAGGTCTAAGAAAACAAGAACAAAATTTGTTTTTTGCCCATGGGACAATGACATCAAGTTCACACAAATTGTGCTATTCAACCATCTAATAAGTATTGTCAAGATGCTACCATTATAACTAGAAGTTGTTATTAATTGCTCAAGTTATATAAACATCAAGAATACCCAAATACTATATGGTAGAAATACCAAAACTCAGTAATTATTAATTACTTAAATTGCATAAAAATATTCATTTCTCTACTAACTACATTAGATCATCATTGGATGACTAAACTGATTGTAACTTTGTGATATTTCCTTGTGTTTGTACACATCTTAGTACTCTTTTTTGTTCTGCAGGACATTTTCATTGTGTTGGAAAAGAATGTTAAGTGCTTCAGTTCCTAGGCTGCCTAGTGCCTTCATATATTTTGCCCAAGGGCCGGATGTTTTCTGAACAACATTATGGAGGATAATTACATCTTCATATAGCAACTTGAGGATTCATGTTTGTTCTTTAGTGGAATTTGACGATGTATGATTGATGGTTTTGAAGCTTGACGAGACATACAATGGATGTATATCAATCTGATATGGAAAAAGATAAATAGTTTCTTTATGTGAGTACATTGAAAAGGCGACGCTGGAAAAGACCACGAATGGGGAATAATACTTATTACCTTTTCTGACAAGCCATACGAATTTTATGCTCTTCCACAACCAATACGCTCCCTATCCCATTAAAATTAATTACCTTTCGGTCTTTTGGATTGGCGAAACATTTTGGAGTTGAAGAATGACGACACCTACTTACTACTTCCCATGTACACCAAACCAAACCTGGTATATCTCACTTGGAGGTAGGGTCAGGGAAGGTGAGATGTACTCATCCTAGATTGTAGCACCGGTTTAGCGGCTAGTGGTCATTTGGGAAATAGCGGCTTGGAATAGCAGTACCGCAAATTGCGGCTCTAAACACCGCTATTTGACCGTTATTTTATCTAAAATGGCGGTCGATACTAGCGCTATTTTCTTACTAGTCTTTTTGTTTTTGTTTTTGGGCTATTTTGAGTGGGCTGTTTTGTTTGAGAGCAAAATTACTTTTATTTGACCCCAAGTTTAAGACTTTTATCAAGTTCAAACTTAAAAGAACTCGATGAAGTCCAAATCCATACCAATTTTGTATATAAGCAACACCATTAGGATCACTTGTCTCCAAACTCTAATTCAATCTACAACTCTACCCCTCAATCAAACTCCCCTCCACTCTCTAGACCCTACCAGCAACATTATTGTTTTGTTTTCACATATTGTCTTATTGTTTTGTTTTTTTCAGTCTGTAAACATAATTGTACTAGCTATTGTTTTTGGTTTATAAAGATAATTGTGTAGCTCAGTTTTCTTTGACCCATTCATTGTTCTGTTTTCAATGTTAGGCATCTTTATTAATTTTATTTTTATAGGGTAGTTGTTGCTAAGTAGTTTAGCTTGTGGAATGCAATTAGCTAGTTTAGTCGTTTATGAGCTTTATAAACTCTATTACCATGTTGCTTGTGTGGTTTGAATTGTTTGGCTTGATATGTATTAGGCATACAAGATATTAAGTTGTATATATACATTCATATTTATTTTATAAACGTAACTTTTTTTACCGCTAGACCACCACTATACAATCGTGATAACCGCTATCTAAAAATTCACAGTCCCGACTGTGATTTCCACAATCGACCGTGTTAACTGCTTAGATCCTAGAATTAAAGATGCATATTCTATGGAAGAAAGCAGATGATTCTTGTTGTCAATGAATTAGAACTTATAAGAAGGGAATGTTAGCCCCTATTAGCTTTGGTTGTTTATCACATTTTTTATGAGTCACATTTATATGAAATGAGGAGAATGAACAGGGGATTGTTGGTCCCATGTACGAGTAATAAAGATGGGATCTACAAAATAGTATGAACTAATGACAACTTAATTATTGCAATAATGCACAATTATGTTTTGGGCGAGGGATCACTCTATAAAAAATAATTTCATTGAGTAAAATTTTGTAATAATAAAAACTTTTTCAATAAAGCCTGCTGTTATAAGAACATTAAAGAAATATCTGATTTATCTTGAATACATAGACTTGAAAGTTTGCGTGAATTTCAGGCTAATTTATTCGCACTTAAAATTTTCCTTGTATAGTTCTCCCTCCAACTTTTGTTCCTTTTTAGGTGTTCCTTTTTTCAGCAAAAGTCAAAGATATCGTCAAAAATTCCTAAATTGTATTATTCTCTATATGTCCAAGGCAGTTATTAATTTTCCTTATTAGTTTATTCCCATTAATTACATTTCCACGCTAGGATTATAAAGCATCATATTCTTAAATTTTAATTGCTTTGTAACTTTGACTTCTAATGCTCCAACAGCATGGATTAATTCTTAGCTAGATCAGGGTATATATGGAAACATAAAGAAGTTCATAAAAATCATCATTTTAGAACAGATTTTGGATGGGAGGGTGTATTATTTGGTTCAGAAGGGAATCTGATTATCGTGGATAACCTATGTCTATTACTTCACACTAATGTGAATAAAATATGGAAATTAGATGGAACTTTGTGAATTGCATTTTGAACTAGTTTTTCTCTTGCTTTTTTTCATAACCACTCTTATATAAGTACAAACTTAATTTGTTGTTTCTCTGCCTTAACATCATATTCATGAACTTTATTGGCATGTTGAATATTTTTGGATAATAATTATGATATCAGCAATTACTATAGTCTTGTTTGACTTGTTATC